CCATTGCAAGCATCCCTGTCAACCCTCTAACAGCTACTGTGTCTGGACAGCTTGGTCTATTAAAGTAAGTTATAAAATAACAGACTTACTGGCTGGATCACCAGGTGAAAATAAAGGAGAATAGCTTAAAAAAAAACAAATGCAATTACATTATCTAAGATTTGGTTAGCTTCAAGTTAATACATTTTTGTTTTTGGTTTAATACTGCTTTAACTAAAAGTCTTTTTGTACATATATAAATACTTTGGATATAAATGACAATTTAAAAAACCAAGCTGTGATATACACATACATGCTTACTCAGATTTACGTCTTTCTGAGCTGCAGAATTTCACTCCTGCTTATTGATGTGTGGAAAATTTCAATTTCTTTCAGTGTCACTGCAGCTCCTGAATAAGACCTTTAAACTGAGAAAGACTTAAGACCAAAGAAGGGTATGGAAAGTGAAAATCCTACAGCCAAATTGCTTTAAAATTACATTCCAGAGAAATGTGGCAAGACTGAACTCAATGCAATTTGATTTTATCGCAATAATGTTAAAGCAAATAACTGCAGGATTTTCACAGTCTAGCAATATTGTTATAGCATATAAGTCTTAGGTATATTCTTCATTGTGACATTTTTTTCCAGATAGGTTCCAGTTTAAGTTGTACAGAATATATACTAGCAAGGTGACCATCTAGGTATGGCCTGCCAGGTCATTTTAATTTTAAATCAGTCTATTTCTGGTCATTTGGAACATAAAGACAAAGCAGGTGGAAATTAGCATTTTCAAAATGTCTTGTCACAGTGAATTGATTGTTTTATGATTCATCTTAAGCATTCCTAGTCAGCTGGTGGCATCTACTAAGAATCAACACGAGATAGCTTTCAACTGCTCCAATACACAGCACAGGACATGTTGTGGTGATGTAGGCCTCAATTAAATACTACATTCAGATATACAGAAACAAAGATAAGGTGATCAGGGCATTGCACCAGAGCAAGGGTTAAATCTAAAGAGTCTTTTTACTTATCTAAAGCCATGGTCATGCTCACACTCCAGTCCTGTATCTTCTCTTCTCATCTGTTTACAAGTGAGGACCTTATTTCAGTGTCCATGCCATTGTCTGCATGACATGGTGACATGAACACTTCCTTTTGGCTGTCCAGCAGCCTTTTAACCACTTCCAGACCGGACACTTTTACCCCTTTCCTGCCCAGGGCAATTTTCAGCTTTCAGCGCTATCACACTTTGAATGACAATTGCGCGGTCATGCAACACTGTACCCAAATGAATTTTTTACCATTTTTTTGAGACAGATAAAGATTTATTTTGGTGGTATTTATTCACCGCTGGGATTTTTATTTTTTTGCTATGTAAATGAAAAAGTCCAAAAAATTTTAAAAAGAAGTGGTTTTTTTATACAATTTTGCAAATAAATAATATTTCATCATAAATCTTTGCCAAAATGTATTCCGTTATCTTTTTAGTAAAAAAAAAAATTCCAAATTAGTTTATAACCAAAAATTATAATTTTTAAACATTTTTTTTTACATTTTTTTTTTTTTTATATTATTATTATTTTTTTTTTTTTTTTTTTTACATACTGTCACCCTAGCAGTACAGTGTCACCATGGAGACACTGTACTACTTGTGGGGGGTGATGAAGATTTTTTTTTTTTCTTTTACACTGTTTGCTTTTACACCCATATAGGATGTAAAAGCAATCATTTCTCTTTCTCGCTGTGTGCATTCTTGCACTCATTGAGAAGTACTGAGTGAGCTGTGATTGGTCACAGCTTGTCACATGGTACAAGGCTGTTGGGAATAGCCTTCTACCATGTGACCTCTGTGATCATTCACAGATTTCACACGTAGTAAGCATTGGTGTGTCAGAAGTGACATCTTGCTTACTACTTTGCATGTGATCACTGATTCGCCAATCAGTGATCACATGATCGGGACCTCGTACAGAGGTCCCGTCCGACGATCGGTGTTTCACTGTGTCCGAAGGACACAGTGGGCACCGGATCGCGGTGCTGCGCACTCCGAGGGAGCGCGCACAAGCAGGGTGCGGGGAGGCCGTTTATATGCAACGACCAGTCGGGAAGTGGTTAAGATCCAGAAGAGGAGTGACATTAGTGAGATGGCACTACTGTAGACTGGTGCATGCACATCTGTAAGGGGTGGAATAACTGTCTCCGTACCTATAAACGACACTGGTGAGGGATTTGGTCAGTGGACTTGGTGAGCACACTTTGTTTCACAAAGTAAGAACAAAACATGCAGCATGAATTAGAGAAAAGTGGGAAGGGTTTCAAATGTTTCTTAAGGTTGGGTTTTAAGGTTCTAGTCTTCCTTACCTGCTGCAATAATTACAGGGTGTCCTCACTTTTCCTGAAGAATACTTATTTTTTTGGAATAAATATATATTTCTAACGTGTTTAGTTTTCTCATGCGGAGTATATATCAAATTTCCATCCTTACATATGCAAAATTGGAGGTTTAGGCCATGTTATACTGTATACAGTAAGTGGTGGTGTAACAGAAGAGGTGGCTGTACCTTTAATTCACTGAATTTCCATTACCTACAGACCTTAATTTTTTTGTGATATTACCTAATATATACTAATCACAGGGCATGTAGAAAATGTCCCCTCCCCATTGTGAAATTAAATAGCCCTGTTGTTTGACACTTTACTCTTTTCTATTGTGACAGTACTTGTGATTCATAATTGAGAAAAGTGTAAAATATGGCACTGCTTGACCATCCTATATTACTTTTGATCCAGCACACAGTGAATAACTTCCACTCACATGCACTTCTTATAGTCCTGTGTGTGCATGAGACTTGTATTTCAGAACTCAACATTCTGTGGTAATGCTGACATTGCTAGTCTATTCACCATACGCTTTCCACTTTGGTTTTTCATTTGCATGAAGTAGGAATAGCTGAGTCCAATATAACAGTGCCATTCATTTCTGCCCATCCTCTGCTAGTTTTGATTTATTTATGCAAGACACATGTTATTGACATAGTCTAGCTCAATTAACCTAAAGGTCTATGAAAAATGCACCTGATGCCATGCTACACCCTCAATTTGATTGTTTTTTCTGATATGTGGCTCTATTTTTATTGCTCAGTGGGAGAGCTAAATTAAATGTGTCTTTGAATTTACATTTCCTGTTAGGTCACTGTAGTAGTTTTTGGAAACATATTTCTATGTATAGATTACTACATTTTTATAATTGCTTTTAATCACAGTTTTTGTTTTTAGTTTTGGATAGAGTTAGGAATGTCTTCATCTTTGGTATTCTTTACTCCTGCCATGTAACAAGAAAGCAGAAATTGAGATTATTTAACAGCAAAGACACATGCAGAAAGAAAAGCCCTGCTTGAAATTCTACAAAAACATATATGCTTTTTTAATGTAAAATCTGTTTATTTCAAGTATATACTGTAAGTATACAAGCAGGGGCGGACTGACCATTTGGAAACTCGGGCGCTGGTTGAGGGCCCGGGGTCAGTAGGGGGCCCAGTGAGATGCCCCTGGTACCTTTTTCATAGGCTTTTTTGAGTTTGGGCAAGCACACAGGGGCCCCATGATCCCCTATTGCCCGGGGGCCCCATGAGTTGTCAGTCCGCCCCTGTATACAAGGCATATGTGATGGGCTGCACAGTAGCTTAGTGGTTAGCATGTCTGCCTTGCAGTAAATGGGTCATGGGTTTGATTCCCAACCATTGTGCCTCCTGCATGGAGTTTTCATGTTCTCCCTGTGCTTGCGTGGGTTTCCTCCAGTACTCCGGTTTCCTCCCACACTCCAAAAGACATGCTGGCAGGTTAATTGGATCCTGTCTAAATTGGCCCTAATATGTGTATGTATGAATGTGAGTTAGGGACCTTAGATTTGTACACCCCTTGAGGGTTAGGGACTGATGTGAATGTTCAATATATATATGTAAAGCTCTGGGTAAACTGACAGTGCTATATAAGTACCTATAATAAATAAATTAATAAATAATGTGGACACTGTAAGATGGCACATAAAGACTTTGAAACTAAATACTATTAATGTACAGTATATAAATAAAGTTGAAGCAGTTATTACAAATGGGTAATGTGCAATTCTTTTATGCACAAATAAATGTTTACAAACAACAAAACTAAAATATATCTGCTTGTTTCCATCTGCTCTAACAGTGCAAGTTCACAGTTGTTCCAACCCTATATATACTGACAGTATAATTGGAGTACTGACAAGTAATACATACCCCATATAGTGTGTCAACTAAAACTACTTGCCTAGGTACATTGCAAGGGGTACTTTGTATCAGCCATTTATCCCACATTTTGTTCAGCTTTTTGGGGCCTGCTGTATGTAGATAATGTAAAGGGAAAGCAATATAAATTTCCAAGCCCTTATACACATTTATGCGTATACACAGTTTTCCTATTAACCTGTTTCCCACAGACATGGTGTATATATGCGGCCTCTCGGAGGGTGGGCTTTAACGCTGAGTGCCCACATATATGCATCTATTTGTAAACAATTTACTGTGCTGAGAGCATACTCCCTTGCAATCGGGGGCTTTCCAATATTGTGACTACTGTGACAGCGGTCACATGATTGAAATCCCTGATCCTGCCCCATATTGATCAAGTTAAAGTGCCAAGAGGCATCTGCAGGAATGGTTTAAGGAGAGCAATTACCAGCAAGGTACATGTTATTCTTTAGATATACTGTTTTACTGTTTTGGTTCATTGCTAAATTCACCTGTTGCACATTCATCTAGTTGTGAATAGGGAAACGTGAAATATGTAGGGAAAGCCATGAAATCTTACTTGGGTGAATGTCAGTAAAAGAATTACTGGATGAACTTCCCAGTGAATCTTACACAAACATACCTTATAGTTCTAAAATAAAAACATATTGTGCAAAAATACACATTTCTTACGAGTGAGACATTAAATACCCACTCCAAGTACAAATAAAATATCAGAAATGTTACTCATATCCCATAGCTCTGCTGTTCCTCTCCAAATTTTTGCATTAGTGTGGATGAAGAAATAAATTAGTAACTGTATAAAAGTGAATAAATGAAACACAGTATCAGGGGCGGACTGACAACTCATGGGGCCCCCGGGCAATAGGGGATCATGGGGCCCCTGTGTCCTTGCCCAAACTCAAAAAAGCCTATGAAAAAGGTACCAGGGGCATCTCATGGGGCCCCCTACTGACCCCGGGCCCTCGGGCAGTGCCCAAGTTTCCAAATGGTCAGTCCGCCCCTGCACAGTATACAACACACATACTAGGGTTGAATCACTAAAGCAGAGGATTCCATTCAGTCAAAATGAATAAATGAGCAGAATTAATGTTTACTGAGCTTAGTAAATAAGGTAAAGATGTGTTGACATCTATAATCAAGTCAACCTAAATGCAAGGTTTTTTTTTTTTGTTCTTTCCTTTAACCCTTGCCCTCCTGAAGATTTACTTTCTGACCAAGACATTTTTTTGCGTTATGGTGCTGCGGTTTTTTAACTGATGATTGCACTGTCATGCAATGCTGCACCCAAATGAAAATTACATCCTTTTTTTTCCCACTAATTGAATTTTCTTTCAGTGGTATTTGATCACCTGTGCATTTTTCTTTTTTTGCGCTATAAGAAAAAAGGCTGACAATTTTGAGAGAAAAAACAATATTTTTGACTTTTTGCTATTAAACATGTCCAGTAAAAAAATTTAAAAATCTAATTCCGTCATAAATTTAGGCCAAACTGTATTCTGCTACATATCTTTGCTAAAAAAAATCCCAATACGTGTAAATTAATTGGTTTACGTGAAAGTTATAGCGCATACAAATGGCGGTATAGATACTGGATTTTTTTCTTTTTACTAGCAATGGCGGTCATCAGCGACTTATCGCTGGACTGAGGGACTGCAGTGGACATTCTGACACTGGGGGGGGAACTGACTTGATGTCATTGACATCCCCAGTGACACCAATACAGTGATCAGTGCTAAAAGAAGGGCTGACACTGTACTAATGGCACTGGGCAGAAAGTGGTTAACATGAGGGGCGATCAAATGTTAACTATGTTCAGGGAGTGTTTTACTAGAGGGCCGTGTCAGTGTGTCACTGTAAGCACACTGCTTTGGATGGGTGTGCACAGCCATCCAAAGCAGTGTGCCCAAGCTGACAGGGAGGAGAACTGTTAGTAAACAAACAGACCTCCTCCCTGTCGAAGATGCTTGGTAGTCACCTGGCGCCGGTGGGTAATTACCGGCTGGGACCCAGTGATTGACAGCCACGGCCGCAAATGGTGACAAGGGAAGGGCGCCTGCGCAGCTTGCACACGCCTCCTACCCGGAAATGCAAAATCACGTATATATATATATATATATATATATATATATATATATATATATATATACAGTTGCAAGAAAAAGTATGTGAACCCCTTGGGATTACATGGAGTTTTGCATGAATTGGGCATAAAATGTGCTCTGAACATCATCTAAGTCACAACAATAGAAGAACACAGTCTTCTGAACATAATACTACACAAACATTAGATGTTGCCATGGTTTAATTGCACATAACATGTAAACATTCACAGTGCAGGGAGGAAAAAGTATGTGAACCTTTGGACTTAATAACTGGTTGACCCTCCTTTGGCAGCAATAACCTCAACCAAAACGTTTCCTGTAGTTGCAGATCAGACCTGCACAACGATCCGGAGTCATTTTGGACCCCTCCTCTTCATAAAACTGTTTCAGTGTAGCAATATTCTTGGGATGTCTGGTGTGAATCGCTTTCTTAAGGTCATGTCACAGCATTTCAATCGGGTTGAGGTCAGGACTCTCACTGGGCCACTCCAGAAGGCGTATTCTGTGCTGTTGCAGCCATTGTTTTGTTGAATTACTTGTATGCTTTGGGTCATTGTCCTGGTGCATCACCATCCTCTGCAGAGCTTCAGTTGGCAGACAGATGGTCGTACGTTTTCCTGCAAAATGTCTTGATAAACTCTGGAATTCATTTTCCCATCAATGACAACAATCCGTCCAGGCCCTGAGGCAGCAAAGCAGCCCCAAACCATGATGCTCCCTCCGCCATGTTTTACAGTGGGGATGAGGTTTTGATGTTGGTGTGCTGTGCCTTTTTTCTACACACAGTGTTGTGTGTTCTTCCCAAACAACTCAATCTTGGTTTCATCTGTCCACAGTATATTTTGCCAGTAGTGCTGTGGAACATCCAGGTGCTCTTCTGCAAACTTCAAACGTGCTGCAATATTCTTTTTGGACAGCAATGGCTTCCTCCGTGGTGTCCTCCCCATGTACTCCATTCATGTTTTCCTTATTGTAGATGTGTCAACAAAAATGTTAGCATGTGCCCAGAGATTTCTGTAGGTCTTTAGCTGACACTCTGGGATTCTTCTTTACCTCATGCAGCATTCTGCGGTGTGCTCTTGCAGTCATTTTTACAGGATGACCACGTCTAGGGAGAGTAGCAACAGTGCTAAACTTTCTCCATTTGTAGACAGTCTGTCTTACCGTGGACACATGAACATCAAGGCTTTTGGAGATACTTTTGTAACCCTTTCCAGCTTCATGCAAGTCAACAATTCTTGATTGTAGGACTTCTGAGAGCTCTTTTCTGCGAGGCATGGTTTCACATCAGACAGTGCTTCTTGAAACCAGTAAACCCAAAACATGTGTGTGTTTTTTAAGGGCAGGACAGCTGTCAGCAACACATCCAATATCATCACACTGATTGGAGTCAAGGTTGGCTCATCCTGGCTCCAATTAGCTCTGGGAGAAGTCATTAAGCTAGGGCCTCACATACTTTTTCCTCCCTGTACTGTGAATGTTTACATGTTATGTGCAATTAAACCATGGCAACATCTAATGTTTGTGTAGTATTATGTTCAGCAGACTGTGTTCTTCTATTGTTGTGACTTAGATGACGTTCAGAGCACATTTTATGCCCAATTCATGCAAAACTCCATGTAATCCCAAGGGGTTCACATACTTTTTCTTGCAACTGTATATGTGATTTTGCTCACTGCTGAAACATAATTAGGTATTTCAAATGAACACAGGTTTATCCTATTAACTAATATTTACTTTGCAATGTGAACATACACTTTTAAAGGGACCATTAACTGTGCTAACAGAACAGTCTACAGTTCTTTCATAAATTACCATATTATATATTTATACACATACCAGAAATCATACTCTCATACACAAGCTGTCACCCTCACCCGCAGGCTGTAATTTTATTTTATTGATAGTCTGCAGTCTACACTGTTCACATTCATGACCTCCCTGCCCAAACAAATGGGAACAATGTTTTCATTTTTCAAGTGTTCTTGAGTAACTGTCTTTATATTGGTAATAGACGATTGTCTGGAAGACCAGAAATCCACGAGTGCCTCACTGTCTGGTCTATAACAATACTTTGAGCTACACATTTTTTTAAATCTTTGTCATCTTCTGGCTCCCTGGCCAGAACAGCTGGATGTCCCTGGTGCAAAAAAACTTTTCTTGGATATTCTCTGCTGATGGCTTCCATTATTTTTCCATTGTCTTAAATGTCTTCTGGCATTTTTGAAATGAAACATACAGTATATCTTCTTCATTTTAACAGCGGAGGTTTCTTATGTGGTGCTGCTACACCCCAGGAACAATCTATACATAACCTTGCTAATTTTATTCTTCGCCTACCAATGGCTGTCTTGATCTATAAAGTTCCCTAAACACCTAGAAAGTAGACTTTAAACTTTTATCTTTTCTGACACTGTTTAAAGATAAAGACTATGATTTTTTGCTGTTCTACAGTTACAGAAAAGACAAGTCTTTATCATTTACTGTGCATTGAGGTACACTGCAGTACAAAAATGCAGCAGGTATTATTTTAGGCCCTTTGTGGTGTGGCGTTATCAGAGTTAACATACATATATTAAAACACTTCATAAAACATGACCATTGTTCATGGTCCCCAGCTAATTGGTCCAAAAAAGATGATATACAGTATATGTGAATTCTGGGGGGCGTTTCTTAGTCTACATTATGAGATTGAACAGAGCAAATCAGATATTATGAGATTACGAGACGTATAATTAAATTTTTAATGTCACTTTAAACTGTTTATTTGGGCCAAACTGTCCCAAAACTATTTCCATTACAGAAATATATGGTTGATGCTTGTGCTGTAATGGACTCTACAAGCATTAATTACATACAGTAAGCAGCACTGTGTTATGTCAGCAGTAAAGGAGACTTCCAATCTGTTGTAGGATATAGAAAGAGTTGAGTTTAGTGCTTCTCTACTATATGTCAAGGAAAACAAGATTTCCTCAGATTGTTCAAGGCAGAGAGAGGTAGGCAGATGATGTCATGACCTCCCCCCCCCCACCTTCACAAATCAGAGAAAGCCTTTTATTTATTGAAAAAAAACACAAGGATTCTCCTGAATGGCAGAGAGGCACCAGCCCAACCCTCTTTATGCAGTATCAACAGGAGAAGAGAGCTCACTCGTACTGTTTTAGGAATACACAGCTGCTGACTGTATGCAGCTAATGCTTTAGAAATGCTTTAAATCAAAATACTTGTACAAACATAGTAACAGATATGATGTAACACAATGACAGAAAAGTTGTACTACACAGAAATCTTCCCAAATAGTAACACTAAAAAAACAGAATGTTGTACCAAATTAAGATATGAATGTTGCTATATACTTTTAGGAGACAGAGTTACTAACGTAAATGTTCTAATAAAAGCACATATAAAATGTTGTGACATTGTCTAATATTTTGAGACAGTGACAGGTGCCATATTGTCAGGTGATATCTTTTCATATTTTGAATTTTGATCACAAAGGGATAGTGACAGATACCTGATCTGTTTCCACGGACTAACATAGGACATGTTCCTAAATATATTGAATGAGGAAAGAACAAACCTAGGGCGCACAGGCCTAGTGCATTGCCATAAAAAATGTTTAATAAGAAATAAAATAGGTGTTGTACTCACAAACGAGAATAAAGTCAAGGCACATCATAAAAGAACAGCTGGGTCAACAGCGCGCTGAGTAACAGTCCGCAATGGGGAGTGTAGACATCCAATAGTCTGACGCGTTTTGAGGACTTGCCTCTTCCTCAGAGCCCTGTTCTTTCCTCATTCAGAATATTTGGATTCCCCGGTCCATTTGAGGGCAGCAAGGTGTGCATGTTCCAGGACATTCTTAATGTGGTTGTAGCTGCATCGAGTCCACCCCCAAGCGCAGGAGCATTTGTGTTTGCTGGTTCAATGTTCCTAAATATGCCCACAGCCGATATATTACCATGGTAAGACATGTTTTCAGTTGAACTTCAATTAGATATGACAAATCATGATAAGTATATATTTTCACTTATTGAAGTTACGAAGTTTCATGAAACTGTATCCCAATGCTCTGAAATATATGCATACTAGTATACTGACACATTATTATTATTATTATTATACAGCATTTATATAGCGCCAACAGTTCGCTCAGCGCTGTACATTACAATGGGGAGACAATACATGAGACAGTACAATAACAATACAATGCAATACACGAGGGGTTCGAGGGCCCTGCTCCTTGGAGCTTACAATCTAGGAGGGAGGGGATAGTGGTACGGGGGAATAGCTGTGGGGGATGGAGTGGTAGGAAGAGTGGAGGAGATCAGCAATTAGCAGAGGGTGGGGTAGGCTTCCCTGAAGAGGTGGGTTTTCAGGGTGCACCCAAAGGAGAGGAGAGTAGGTGATAGTCTGATGGATTGGGGTAGGGAGTTCCATAGGATGGGTGATGCCCGGGAGAAGTCCTGGAGGAGGGCATGGGAGGTGGAGATCAGGGAACTAGAGAGAAGGAGGTCTTGTGAGGAGCGGAGAGTGCGTTTTGGGTGGTATTTGGATATTAGGTCGGTGATGTAGTTTGGGGCAGAGTTATGGACAGCTTTGTACATCAGTGTTAGCATTTTTAATTTGATCCGCTCGGTAATCGGAAGCCAGTGGAGGGATTGGCAGAGGGGAGTGGCAGAAACAGAGCAGTTGGTAAGGTGAATGAGTCTGGCCGCCGTATTCAGGATCGACTGAAGCGGGGATAGCCTGTGGCACATGATTTAATCCAACCAGGGGCGGACTGGCAACTCATGGGGCCCCCGGGCAATAGGGGATCATGGGACCCCTGTGTCCTTGCCCAAACTCAAAAAAGCCTATGAAAAAGGTACCAGGGGCATCTCATGGGGCCCCTACTGACCCCGGGCCCTCGGGCAGTGCCCGAGTTTCCAAATGGTCAGTCTGCCCCTGAATCCAACACTGTTCTACCAGTTCAGTGATTTTTGTATACGTAACAATGTGTTTTTACAGTTACTTATGACTTGACAAATCATTTAGTTATGATGATAGACAAAGTTTTAAAAATCTTTCCCACAAGTAATTTGTGTATTAAGTTTGCAACTAGTGCTCTGATTTTACTTTTTTTTTTCTTTTCTAGAATCCCTTTGTATTATTTATACCCAGCCTTCAGTATTAAAGACCCATAATAACACTAAAACAAGCATATAGCCTAATGTGTGAAATGGCTACAAGAATGAAAAATGAGGGCTCTAACAGAAAAGCCCAAATCATGGGCATGCGGATGCCACCCCTCTATATTTAAAATAAAAATAAATAAATAAATTATCCTCAGAAATAGGTAGGCCCTGTTAAGAAATCAGATGAGGAAAAAAGCGGGAAGAGATTAGGTATATGACCATGGAAAAAAACAGGAAAACCACATGACTATGGATCATTCTGAAATATTGGGGGCTCATTATATAAAGACACTCCGTGAATGAATTCTCTACAGTTGGTCAGAGTTGGCCAACGGCTCGCCACCCCCCCTCCCTTGTCGCAAGGCACTATTTATATGGTTTGTGTCACCTTTTTTATAGAAAAGGGGACTTATTGGTAGAATTATTTCAGATAGCTCGAGTCCTTAAAGACTGAGCAAGTTTATTCATGATTGATAATTAAAGTGTAAGATGTTTGAATACATTATATTGCAAATTTAATTTATGTTATGTGTAATTGCCAATAAAAGTGCAGAGGCCAAACAATGTTATGCCAAAAAAGAAATGTGTGTGTGTCATTATTTGAAATTAAATTATTTAAGTATTGATATTTGGGAAGAGGGATAAAGTGCGGTCTGCATTCCCATGTGGCTCCCTAGATCTACTAATACAAGTCTGCATTCTGTCTACCATCAGGTACATGCCCCTATAATAGCGGGACATTATTAGTGCTGATGGTCATTGTGCTCCTTTGCACCATGTAAATTCAAATGTTATTGATTACTGTAATGAAAAAAATAATCACATATCTGGACATCATTCTTACCCCAAGCTGTAAGTTATTAACGTTTGACTACATTTATAAAACATGGTATTATTGTCATTGTAATACAAGATGAATTCCATGCTTATGGTACCATTATCATAGTTGTACTGTATATATTCATGAATAAATATGTTGTTTGTTTATTCAAGGTATTATTCGAACTGCATTGCCAAACATGAACCGAGAAATAAGAGAATATTACCAAGTTGTTATTCAGGCCAAAGATATGGGTGGCCAAATGGGAGGATTATCTGGAACAACCACTGTGAACATTACTCTTATTGATGTCAATGACAATCCACCTAGGTTTACTCAAAGTAAGTTATGTTAGACATTTTCAGTATATAATATATATGGGCATTTCATTTAAAGTGGTTGTAAACCCTCACATATGAAATGACTAGCCTCAGGTGATACACAGATATGAAACAAATTATCTTGCATATGTTGTGCCTGTCAATCTGCAGACATCCGTTCCCTACATCCATTCAAAGTGCAGAATTTACACAGGATCTCTCATCTCTGAAAAGCAGGGAGTAGAGAGCTCTGATAGCTGATTGGAGGGAAGAGATCACCCCCCTCCACACAGCACACAGAAAAAGCGCTGAGGCTGTCAAACATAAGCTGTGACCTTCCCTGTCACCATTTTTCTTTTGGTGTAAGTAAAACTTGTGACTTATGCTTATAGCAAAGGAACACGGCACCAGACAGGAATGATACTTAGTGCTCTAGATTGAAACAAGTACACACTATAGAGGGATATGCTTCGTGACTCATGCTTATAGCAGAGGAACACAGCAGCAGACAGGAATGACACTTAGTGCTCTAAATTGAAACAAGTACACACTATAGAGGGATATGCTTCATGACTCATGCTTATAGCACAGGAACACAGCAGCAGACAGGAATGACACTTAGTGCTCTAAATTCAAACAAGTACACACTATAGAGGGATATGCTTTGTGACTCATGCTTATAGCAGAGGAACACGGCAGCAGACAGCAATGACACTTAGTGCTCTAGTTTGAGACAAATACACACTATAGAGGGATATGCTTTGTTGGTATTTCATGTCTAAAGTTCACAACCACTTTAATATATATTTTTGGAATTTAAAAAATGTTATTTACTTTCTTCTCAAACAGGTATTTTCATACTACACTTTAAATAATTGACATTTTAATAAGAACTTTCTTGATTAAAAAATATAGAATAAATATAAGCATGACATAACATGATAGACATGAAAGAAATTGTCATTTTACCTTCATTTTGCTGTTATTTGACAGAGAGAGACCTGTCCAAGCTTTCACATAGTGGTAACATTGTGTGTTTACAGTGCCCTCCTCTTTCTTTTACACTGGAGGAAGGGGAATAAGCAGGATCTAATGATTGAATGACTCACGTTCACACTGTAGCAGGGGCAGACTGACAGCTTATGGGCCCCCGGGCAATAGAGGATCATGGGGCCCCTGTGTCCTTGCCCAAACTCAAAAAAGCCTATGTAAAAAAGGTACCAGGGGCATCTCATGGGGCCCTCTACTGACCCCGGGCCCAGTAGGCCGGGGTCAGTATGGGCCCATGAGATGTTTCCAATGTCATGGGGCCTCCTACTGAGATGTTTCCATGGGGCCCCATGAGATGTTTCCAAATGGTCAGCAGCAGCACATTCTACACCCCCCCCACACACACACACACACACAAACACACCCATGTGTCTGATATTCACACTGTCTCTCTATGTGTCTTGTATATTAACCATTTACCTCCTCTATAAAGAATGAAGAAAATTTTTTTTTTCAATAAAATAATTTGAGTGTAGCATTCCATTACTTTCTTTCCCTTTCATCATATATTTATTTGATCATTTAGATTAAGTCTACTGTTCTCATTAGGCTGGCGGAGGGATGAAAAAATAAAACTTTCTGGTATGTCTGTGTATAGTCTCTCTAAAGTTTTTTCGTTTCACCCTTTTTTTTTCTCATTGGGTAAAGGTTAAAGGGAATCAAAGGACTCCTTTACACCGGGAAAGTTGATCTCTAGAGCAAATATAAAAACTTTTATTAAGCTTTTATTATGTCTATTATTGCATATAAAGGCTAAAACATTTTAATACATTTATTGTATAATTTGCAATGTTAATCAATTAAAACATTATTTTTATGCATATAACATTTACATTTTAAAAAGCCATGAAATACTGGCAAGAAACCTTTATTTTGACATTTTGTAAGTAATATTTAATTAGAACTTCCATTAGTGACATAAATGTCCTAAATGATGTTAGTAGAATTAAAATTATTCTTTACTGATAACATTTTATATTGATTATGACCTTTATGCTTTTCAATGTAGATACTTACCATCTTAGCATCTCAGAATCATCTCCAGTTGGTACTATTGTTGGTCATATTAAATCAGTGGATGCTGATATTGGCAGGAATGCTGAAGTACGTTATAGAATAACAGATGGGGATGAAATGGGAATGTTGGAAATAACAACAGAGAGAGCAACACAAGAAGGTGTCATAACTGTAAGAAAGGTATGTAAAGTCACAAAGACATCATAAAAACACAAACAAAGCTGTAGAAGACTGTGACAATGTTATGTTAACATCCTGCTTATTTGGATGCAACTGAAGATTAAAGCTGCAGTTAAAGAGTGTGCCCACCCAAAAATAATAATTCATTTTTGGACAATGCTAATGATTTAAATCCCTTGATAAATTGTACTACTGGTCAGGGGCGGACTGACCATTTGTAAACTCGGGCACTGCCCGAGGGCCTGGGATCAGTAGGGGGCCCCATGAGATACCCCTGGTACCTTTTTCATAGGCTTTTTTGAGTTTGGGCAAGGAGACAGGGGCCCCATGATCCCCTATTGCCTGGGGGCCCCATGAGTTGTCAGTCCGCCCCTTCTACTGGTGCAGGTCATGGTTAAGTTTATGGCCAAGTAGAAATTACTCAAGGAGTCAATTAAACGCTCTTATCAAGCTTCAAAGAAAAATCATGCTCATATTTTCTTTTTTTCAGGACCTGTTTACACTAAACTGATATGTTGTGGTGCATTAGAATTAACTCATGTTACTATGCGTGTTAACATGTGTTGTGTTATGGAAGCTCTTCATTGCTGGAAACTGTCGCCTGTCATGCATTGCTTTGTGCGCTGTGCTATACAGTACAGTGTATTAGTGTGCCATTCAGAATGAATTTCATATAGAGCACATAGATCTTGTGCAATAGTATGTCTTGTGGCAATGCATACATTGTCACAATGCACAAGTGTGAATGGGTTCTTAAGGTGTATAAGATTTTAAACTAATGTTTTATATGAGATGAGTCACTGTTGTAAAGTATTCAGATACATGTGTAATTTGCATTTCAGATATTCAGATCAAAAAAACTGCAGGCTGCTCTCAGCAAGAACTCAATGTGATAGCTGCAAATATTAAATATGAAATATTAATATACAGCATTTTAAATTTACCTGACCAAGGCAAATGAAAAAAAATAGATCATTTTTAAAATGACTTTTCTATTGATTTTTTTTCTAAAAATGAAGGATAAATCAAACTTATCTGTTAAAGTTTAGTATATTTTATAGTATGAATCTAAAATAAAAGAATACAATAGGAGGTGCTGGAGCATACAAAGTAAAAATAAAATAAATAAGACACAGAGAGAGCATGCTTATGAAATATGTAAGACTTTAAGGCTACATTCACACTAGCCTTGTTTGCTAGCGGCAGAAGCGGCAGCGCGTTTTTTACCGCTTCTCAAACACCTCGGACAATTCTGCCCATTGCAGCACATGGTGCTGTTCTAACGGGAGTGGTATCAGTGCGGCAAAACGGATGCTTCTGATCGAGTCTGGCCGGCATTTGCGGTGCATTTGCGGTGCAGTTGCGACGCGTTTGCGGGGCGTTTGCGGAGCTGTACCAACATTTAAACTTCATTATAGGCATTTGTGGGGCATTTTTAACGCTCGGAAAACGCCTAGCAACTGCAGCTAAACTGCTCATGCGGCGTTTGCCGAGCGTTAAAAGCGCTCCGCAAACGCCGGACCAACGCTTGCCAAGCGCTATAGGGGCGTTTGGCAAGCGTTGGTAAAAACAGTCAAGTGTGAACGACCCCTTAAGGTGCCTGTTGGGGACTGAGTTCACCAGGCTTCATGTAAATTATCACTTGTTTGTGAACTGGCCCTTTAATGTGTATGGGTACCTGTGTTGTTAATCATGTGTATGCTTTTCAGGTGATGGTTCCAAGGGGTTCATCCTTGATTCAGAGGCTAAGGATGCTTTTTTGGCAATGTGTTCCGGGTCTGGGTCATTAATGCTTTTTTGTATGGAATTGAAGCCCAACTTTTGCTAAACTTTTTTGTGTGTGTCTACATAAATATAAATATATATACATACTGTATATACTGAGAGATCAAGCATTTTCATCACTTGCAGAGTACAACTTGCCATGATGAATTCATCAAAGTATTAAATGTGCATTCAAGTGATGTTACTATATGTCAAGTATGATGTTTAACAAAGCTTTCCATTCTCAGCTGCTGATCTGTATTATATTGAAGAATACACAGCTTATCTCTGTGTCTGTGCTGGCAGACCAGTGTTGATCTGAGTTAAGATATTGTGACATACAGCTGCTGAGCTTTGATTTCACATTGTGGTATACCTCTGTATTCCTTGTGCTGGCATATCACATTTAAGTATATACAATGTGTCATGCCATGACTGATCTATACAATAACATGGCAAACCAATAGTTCTATTCTTACAGAGAATAACTGATAAGTCCACATCCAACTATATATCTAGGTTTTGAAAAAAACTATGATGAAGCTGTCTGAGAGTGGCATGAAACTATTGACCTGTGTTCATAAGAATTGTATTTACTTATTTATACTTTGTTCAGCCAAAATTTTGATAAATAGTTAGCATTGTTAAATATATTCACACAGGGAAACTGTGTGTATATATAAATGTTTTGGTTGATTAAAGGTCCTTTTGTAAGTAGCATTAGCTCTTTTAACTGTGTTTATTATTTTCTATTACAATACATTTTTTCAGTTTCAGTATGTTTTCATTACAATGTTTTCATCAAACTGTTTATTTCCCACACATAAATAATAAGAATGAGAAAGGCTTGATGCATGTGGGGTTTGTCAAATGCCACTTCAAACACACAAAACCTGAACCAAGGTGCAAACCTCATGCAAAGTCTATGGGAAGTAAATCTTGATACTAAATTGTGGCCAAGGCTAAAAGAAAAGCCATTGTCAAAAAGGGAAGTTACATAGTAATAGAGGACATTTAACAATGCAAAAAAAAAATAATGCTGTACTGTGGGGAGAGGTCCTTTTATATCAACTTTAAATGTGTTATTAAAAAAACTTTAAAGTACATGCTTGGGAGATGCCTTTAAGCTATATGTGGCGTTACAAACAGTATGATTTTTAACAATGTCACCAACACTATAATCTGGCATCACTCATTTTGGATGTGTATCATTTTAATGTTTACTTTAAAGTGGTTGTAAAACCCTTACATATACCCACTTACAGTAAGTGACTAGCCTCAGGTGATCCACAGAACTGAAACTAATCTTCCTACATATATTGTACATGTTTATCTTCATATATTTTCCTCTACAGCCTCCTAAGGCACAAATTTAGCACACCATTTCTGAGCTCCAGAGGTCAGGGGGTGGAGATCTGATGTCACACACTGCACATCATAGAACAGGGAGCTGAGTGTAATCTGAGACCTAAGTGGAGGGAAAGGGCACACTTCCCTCTACACAGTCTCATAAGGAAGCATGCACAGCTGAGACTGTCAATTACCTGCTGTGTGCTAAATGTAGTGTGGATCCATCTCTCCGGATTGTCTGGTGTCAGCATCAACTGTCAAAGTGACTCATGCAGGTAGCAGAGGAATGAAAGAGCTAAAAGAAAAATAAAAGGTGCTTTGGATCAAGGCAAGTACACACTGTAGAAAGATATGCTTTCTTCATTTTTCACTTCAGAAGTTTACTTTAAGCTTGGAACAATTACAGCAGCAATTTTGGCAATAGGCCAGAAATTACTGGTGAACGTTGCAGCCAGATCAGATCTGAAAGCTATAGGAATGTGTATTCCTAAACAGGGGCGGACTGACCATTTGGAAACTCGGGCACTGCCCGAGGGCCCGGGGTCAGTAGGGGGCCCCATGAGATGTCCCTGGTACCTTTTTCATCGGCTTTTTTGAGTTTGGGCAAGGACACAGGGGCCCCATGATCCCCTATTGCTTCGGGGCCTCATGAGTTGTCAGTCCGCCCCTGCTCCTAAACCAATAAAGCCATAGCCAATTTTAGAAATTGGCCAGTTTAATATTATAGCAAATATAGCAAAGCAGTTTCATATATTTTGTGAGCTTCACTTTTCACACTATCTCACTGATTTGACTAAAAGGTATAGCAAAATGTGAAAACAGAATTGAAAAACACTTCAAAATCACAGCTCCATATTTCCTGAACCCTGTTCCATTCCTGCATCCCCATTTATTCTTTAAATATTTAAACAATAGACTTACAAAAACAAAATGTTTTAATTTTCAGTCTACCAAATCATAGGTGTGGTATCTGCATTAGTTTGTTATCTTTTCCTGGTGATCCAGCCATAGAATCTGAAACAAACCATTTAGCACTGACAGGGGTGCTTACAATGGCCATCTTTTATATATTTATGTGAAATCTTT